CCGGCTCTGAAGCCAGAAGCCAGATCCTGAGAACTACACCTACGCCCTGGATGCGATGCAGGTGAAGCCGAAGGAGGTACGGCCGTCAACCCAAAAACGGGGCAAGGAGGGATCCAAAGTCCCTGGCCAAACCCAGCAGCCACCCAACTCTTGCTGGTCTGTCTCCAGGTCATCCTTCTGGACGACATCGGGGAGAACTTGAAGCCAGCTCGGGAGATGGGCATGGCCACCATCCTCGTCAGGGACAGCGAAACTGCCCTGAAGGAGCTGGAGGATCTCTCAGGTGTCCAGGCATGTGGAGGTGATCTGGGTCCTCTCAGTCCCCTGGAGAGCTGGGAGGGGTGGGCTTGGGCTTCTAGGTCTTGCCGTGATGTGGTGCTGGTGCAGGACATGCGGGTGGCTTTGGAAACAAATGGGATGGGGGCTGTGATCTCCTGCAAACCCTGCCCACCCCTCCCATAACTTCATCCCCTGGACCTGCTGAGCCGTATCCATCTCAAGAGCGTGGATGTCCCACCGGCAGCAGGGTGGGTGAGGATGTCCCCCGGAGCTCCAGGCTTGCTCAGGAGCTCACCCTGTGCTCCTCACCCTGCAGCTTCTCGCCCAAGAAGAGCCGCTGCCGACTGCGTGTGATCCAGCCAACGTGACCCACGGATACGTCCCCATCCGGGTAGGGCGAAGGGGACTACCTTGGTGACAAGGTGTCCCCAGGCTTGGGGATGTTCTTGGGGAGGGCGTTGAGTCCTGTGCAAGGATGAGCCAAGCAAGGGGTGGCTTGCTGGGTTGTCCTCCCTGCTGTGTGAGCTGCTCTGCGTAGGAGGTGGTGGAGTCCCCATCCCTGGAGGGGTTTTAAAGCTGTGGAGATGTGGTGCTCAGGAACATGGTTTGGTGGTGGACCTGGCAGTGCTGGGTTAACGATTGAACTCCATAATCTTAAACGTCTTTTCCAACCTAAATGATTCTGTTCTGACCTGCCCCATCACTGAGGACTTCTCCATCCACCCCAGTGGCTAAAACGTGCTCGTGTGGCTCCGAGATGCTGGGCTGGAGGGTCTGGTGGGCTCCCACACCTGGTGACCACTGGTGCATGGAGGGTTGGGAAGGTGAGGCTGTGTCACCTGCAGCCAGCGCGAGCTCTCCATCTCTTCCAGCCCGGTGTCCAGCTGCACTTCGTGGAGATGGGACACGGCCCCGTCGTCTGCCTCTGCCACGGCTTCCCTGAATCCTGGCTCTCCTGGCGCTACCAGGTGATGGAGGAGATAGGGAGGGAGGTGGACCAGGGGGGATTGGTGGTAGGAAGCTGGAGGATGGTGGAGGGGACACATGGTGACCGCTTCTGGGGTGTCCTGGGGCTGTCCCACCACCCTGGGGCTCTCCCACCACCCTGCCTGAGCTTGAAGGACATGGGACACAACCCAAGAGTGTTCTCCAGTCTCACCAGTCCACAGCTGCCCTCCTGGGGATGTCTCTGGGCGTGCTGGGGTGGGCAGATGCAGGAGGGGAGGAGGAGGCATCTGGGGATCTCTGTGTCCTTCAGAGGCTGCTGCTTTCCCTCCTAGATACCAGCTTTGGCTGATGCTGGCTTCAGGGTGATCGCTCTGGAGATGAAGGGCTACGGGGAGTCCACGGCCCCGCTGGGTGAGCTGGGTTCACTGGGGTGTAACGGGGATGGGGCTGGAGCTGCCAACTCCGGGGCCAAGACTCAGGAGGAGATGGGTGGAGGAGTCTTTTCCTAGGGGGGTTGAAGCTGTCCTGCTCCTCCTGCAGCCCTGACAGCTCAGGTGGGTGCTGTGAGAGTGGTGAAACCCTGGTACGGGTTGCTCAGAGAAGTTATGTGAGTCCTTGGAGGTGTCCAAGGACGGGTTGCATGGGTGGGAGGTGTCCCTGACCATGGCAGGGGGTTGGAATGAGATGGTCTTGAAGGTTCCTTCCAACCCAAACTGTTCTATGATTCTATGAAAATACACCTGTAGAAAGGTGTGGATGTTAAAACGATAATTGTGTCTTTCGTGCAGACATAGAAGAATACTCCCAGAAGCAGATTTGCAAGGTGAGGAGCTGCAGGGTGTGGATGTGGGCAGGACGAGACCGGTGGGTGCTTGGTAGGGCATGGTCCCGGGCAGCATCTGACCCCTTTTCTCCTCTCTTCCCCAGGACCTGGCAGTTTTCCTGGACAAACTGGTGAGGAGCCACCCACGATGGGTCCCTCCTCCTTGGCAAGGTTTGGGCGTGTGTCCCCCATGGCTGCTCTTCACATCTTCCTTCCCACGTGGGGGCAGCTGAGCTCCCCGGTGACTTTGTCCCATCCTGGGACATCTGAGGTTCCCCACGACCCCAAAACCCTTGAGGCAACCCCAAACCCCATCTTTGTGTTCCCCACAGGTGGGATTTTAGGGATGGGGATGTTCATACAACCCATCGCCGGTGGTGAGGACCCGTCCTAGGGTGGATTTGCAGTTCTGCATCCACCTTCCCCTGGACTTTGTGTCGTTGCTGAGGATGGAGGGATGGGCTGGTGGCACCTGTGTGGGTTTTGATAAGGCGGTGAGATACTTGTGGAGGAGGATACTGGGCTACGTCGCCTCCCTCCTCCTTAAATCCCCACCGTAGCAGCTCGAATCTGGTGTCGTCTCAGCATCTGATCCACTTGGATTCAGAGGTTCTGGGTTTAATTGATGCCCATCAAGGAGATGGAGTTGATTTTTGTCCCTTTTAGAAGAGATGAAGCAGAGAGAAGGGAAGGCACAGCCCACAAATGCCATCACCCTCAGGGCTTTTTCCTTGTAAGATGACTTCTAAATCCTTCAACAAGCACAGCGCTAAAAAAATATAATAATAATAACTCAAGAAACAAGAGGAAAAAACCAAACCAAACCAAAACTTGAGGTTTTGCAAGAGCTCGTTGCTGGAGGAGCGAGGTCACAGCATCCCATCCAAAGGGAAATTCAGTTTTTCCCTGCTCCTTCTCCCTTCTCTGGGACAACCCAGGGGGGTTTAGGGGGAAGATAAATGACCTCGTGAAGCTTCATGTGTTGTTCGAGCCCGTAGTGGGGATGCAGGAGATGCAGAGCAATCCAGGATGGTGGGATGAAACCCATCAGCACTGGGGGGGACCCACTTAGCCCCACATCAGAGGTGGGAGAAGCTGGGACCCCCCCAAAAAACCCTCTGCCCAACTTGGGGGGGGATCTCAGCGCCAGGTTTCACACCGAGTACGTGGCCAGCCCCGAGCTGTGTCCGCCGGGAGGGAATTTTAATTAGGCTTCTAAATATCAGCTAATTATGAACGGGATGCTGCATTGTCAGGAGCGTGGGGTTTAATTGGATTTAGTTGTAGGCGCCTGGAGGGGTGAGGAAAAAGGAAAAGGGAGGGGGAACCGTGAGCTGTGCCGCTGCTGGGGGCCCCTACGAGTGGTCCCAGGGGACCGGCAGCCCCGAGATGCGTTTTTTGGCAGATAATGCCAAACCCCCTTCCCTCTGGTACTTGAAATGTTTAATTAAGCCGGAGCAATCCGGGGAGAATCGGATAAAGCTTCTTCCTTGGGGAGGGGAAAAGGATAACAACAACAAAAAAAATTAGGAGAAAACAGAAAATATTGCAGTTTTCTGATCTCTTTGCCGGTTTGGATGAAGCAAATTGCCTCTTGGGCACTGCTTTTGGGGTGCAGCCATGGGGGCACAGGTTGACACCCCCTCCCCATCCCTCCAGGGCATCCCGCAGTGCGTGCTGGTCGGCCACGACTGGGGGGGTGCCGTGGTTTGGAACATGGCCCTCTTCTACCCCGAGAGGGTGAGGTGGGTAACCTACCCCGAGAGGGTGAGGTGGGTACCCCCATCCCCTGCTGCCTCCACATCCCTCCCAGGGGCACCCCAGATCCTGTCTTGTCCCTGCGGCCAAGCCCTGGCTTGCACAGGACACCCCAAATTTGGGTACGATGCTGACCCTGTGTGTGTGTCCCCCCCAACCCTGTGATGTCCCAGAGCCGTGGCCTCGCTGAACACCCCGTACCGACCCGCCGACCCCACCGTGGACATCGTGGAGAAGATGAAGAGCTATCCCGCTTTTGACTACCAGTTCTACTTCCAAGAGCCGGTGAGGCTGGGACCACAATTTTTATCCTCTAACCCCACTTTTGGGGCACCCAAATATGGGGACGTGCCCATGTCAGGGTCTCCAGCTGACGGCTGGGCTTCGCCTGACCCATAGCCAGGGTGCCACACCATGGGAATCCCCTCCCCAGACCTTGTTCCCGTGCTGAACTGGGCACAAAACCCCATCCCCAGCCTCCACCTGAGCCCCGATGGGTGGCAGGATCTGTCCCTGGAGTAACGTGGGTCGACATCACCCGTGGTGTTTCCTCCTCTCTGCACAGGGCGTCGCTGAAGCGGAGCTGGAGAGGGACGTCAGCCGGACCCTGAAGGTCCTGCTCCGCTCCGCACGCCAGGAGGTGAGGATG